TTATACTTTATATTTTATATTTTATATTTTAAATATAATTCTTGCTAAATTTATATTGTATTAGAATTTATATTATATTTAGATAGATTAGTAAAATGTATACTAGTATACTGTATATCAATATATACTATAAACTAGTATATACTATATATTACTATATATTGTATACTACTATATACTATGCTACTATGTACTATATGCTACTGTATACTATATACCACTATATTATATACCAATATATGCCAATATATGCTATTTGATATATAGTTGTATTAATATATACTATTTGCTATATAGTTAAATATTAGTCTAGACTAGTATAATACACTGTATATAGTTATATATCAGTATTTACTAATATATTTTATATAATTATATATTATAATTATTATTATTTTTTTTTTTATATTTAGAGGCCAGGTACTATGGCTGATTTTTTATTATGAGTCAATGTAATATTTGTTATATGAGCAAGGATATAATTAGCTACACGTGCACTTTTGGTATCTAATTTAAGTAGTCCGCTCAGAGGTTCTATACTAGCTGCTATATCTATAATCCAACTACGAGAATTGTCTATTTAAACCCTCTGACTTACGATCTTCCTATTACTAACCTGACTCACTATGTATTGCAGATATAACGGACCTGACCTTTTTATTACAACAGCCTAAGGGCTACTTTACCCTCATACCAACTGCCTACTGAACAACTTTTCATGTCCCAAACATATAATTATTGTCAGATTTAGTAACCAAGGCTATCTGCCTTTATTAGGTTCATTCTGATCATAGTATCAGCCTTCTTTTTGGCCTATACTATATAGACCGATTTCACTATCTCCTAACTTGGGACTTGTCAAACAGGTTCTTGTGGGTTTTTTCCAGTTTTCTGGATTTGCGATGCATTACTGTATTATTGCGTCCGTAGGCTCCCATTTGAGATGATGGAACCAGAATTACAGGTTTTATGCCCAACCGATCAGAAGCCACAATTACCAAATACAGATTTAACTCCAAAATGTCACCAGTGGGATTCGAACTATCAATCTGCCACTTGGAAAGTGACACCTTGACCACTTCTCTAAGGCACCACGCCCTAATGATTATATATTATTATATATAAATCTAATAAATATTTAAAAGAATATTTTTTCTTTTACTTCAACAGATTTTAGTTCTGAAATAAAAAGAAAAAAGTAATAGAATAAACAATAAATAAAAACTAATAAATAATACTTTTTAGAATATTGTTTTCTAAATATTTCTATATACAGTATAATATTTATTTCATATTAATAATCTTGTATTAATATCTTTATTATCTCTAAAAAAACAAGTAAATAAAGCTTTTTACTCAAACCTTCTTTCTTGTTCTTCTTAAACTCTTTTTTAATAAATATCATTATAACAATATATAAAACTTCTAATAATTTTAATAAAAAGAAAAACAGAATTATTAATAAATATTTTTTAAATATTAATAGTAAAACTATGTCTTTATTTTTATTAAAATTTATATCAGCAAATTTTAAAAATTGCAATATTGTAAAAGATTTGCAATTGATGTGAAATATTGTACAAGAATTTAAAATTTTGCTCTAATCTTCAAAACTTACTAAGTTATTGCATATAATTGTGCTGATTAAAATTGTTCAAAAGTTATTCTAATCATAATAGTAATTAAATCATCAAAATTGGTTAGATATTTGCTGAGGTAGCTCAATTAAAAGTTTTTGAAATATTTCAAATATTTCGTAATATTGCAAAATAATTGAAATATTTTAAAAAATTTTTGATTGGGCTATCTTAGCAAATATCAACCAATTTTGATGATTTAACTACCATTATAACCAAAATAATTTTCTAAACAACTTCAATTAGTGCAACTATGTGCAATGACTTAGTAAGTTTTAGAGATTAAAGCAAATTTTTAAATTCTTGCACAATATTTTAGTCAATTACAAATCTTTTACAATATTGCAGTTTTTAAAATTTGCTGATATAATTAGAGTCTCTTATAAGGAAAAATAAATTTAAATTTTATATTTTAAGATAACAAGAAAGGAATTTAGATTAGTTTATTTATGGTCTAAACTAAATATATTTTGAATATTTAATAACTTAATATTTAATTAAATTTAATTAATATATTAAAATTTTTAAAATTTATTTAAAAAAAATTTTTAAATATCAAAACTGGTTTAATTTTATTAGTTTTTAAATTTTGATTATTTTGTAATTTTTGTTATAGTGAATTATTTATCAAGATTTTTAACTTAATAAATTAAATTTTAGAAATTAAACATTTAAAAATAGTTTCATAATATGTTTTTGCTATTAATATAGGCTCTAAATTTGATTGGCTAATCATTGTAATATGTGGAATGATTTAGTAAAGAAATTTAAAATAATTTGATACAAATGTTGATTATTAAATATGGAATCATCTAAAGCTATATATATACAGTTTAATTTTCCTATAATTACACCCCTCAGAATAAAGATTTGTGTGATTGTAAAGAGAATTTTACTAAGATGTGCTTATAAAGAGGTTTTTTTCTATAGTTAGTTTTAAAATAAATGTGCTTATATAGAGAATTTTTATATAATATGCTTATATAGAGGGTAATTATAGAGAAGTTTGATTGTATTTATATGTGTAAATCAACTGAAGAAGTTAAAAAATAAAGAAACTATAAAAAAGATGAAAAACAGCAGTCTAAATCAGTGTTGTTAGCAATAAATAAATAGAACAATAGAGCAATAAAATAGAGCAATAGAATTTAGAATAGAATAAAATTTTGGATGTTCTATAGAATAGGTGAGCAATATAAAAAATAAGCTTCACTAATGATTAGTAATCATTAATTTTTTAATATCGGAGTTGCGGAGTTGGCAGAGTTTGTCCACCTATTCTATAGAACATCTAAAATTTTTATCAATAGAACAAAAAATTGACAACTAGATTATAATTAATATTACTGTAGTGCACTGACCAAAGTACCTGGGATCCAATACAATCTAACCAAAAAAAAAACTTATAAAGTACCTGTGGGTATCTTAATCAATGACGAGTATTTTGTATGAAAAGTACTTTGTATGGTCTTATATATGTAATGCGGAAATCAATATATGGAGGGGAGTCAGTAGAAATGTGACAAATTTTTTCTAAGTAAAAGTTTTCTTAACTTTAAATTTAAATATTTTGTCAACTATCTTATTAAATCTAATAAATTTTTTTTTATTTTAATTTCAGGTAATTCTAGAATTAAAATAAAAAAAATTTATCAAAATTAGTTAAGTAGTTGTCAAGAAATTGTAATTTAAAAATTAAAAAAAATTCACTAAAAATGATTTGTCCCATTTCTACTGACTCCCCCCCATATGTTAACGTGAAAAATGCTATGCAAAATACCTGGATATTATCTACGATTAAAAAAAATGCTATACAAAGTACCCAGGTATTTTGAATGAGGATACGCAAAAAGGAGGATACTTTAGTCAATATATTATGGTAATAGATAATTCTCAAGTGAACCGAAAAATTCTCATAGTGTAATGCAATGCAGTTCTATAGTTCTATAAATAAATTATATAGATAAAAATATGAAGATTTTTTAAAGAAATATAGTGTTTGTTCAAAAAAACCTTTTTTCATACTAAGTAAATTATCTTTGAGCTTCTAACAAAAGTTGTAAAGCTTATCAAGATGCATTTAATAGTAATAAGAAAGTTAAAATTGGCTTGGTAATTCTTAAAAAATCTTTAAAAAACATTTTACCAACATATAAAATTTCTTTAAAAAAAATCGATTTTTTTTAAAGAAGATTTTATATAATCAATGAAACATTTTTTAAAGATTTCTCAAGAACCACCAAACCAATTTTAATGTTCTTACTACCATTAGATGCATCTTGATGAGCTTTACAACTTTTGTTAAAAGCCCAAAAATGATTTACTTTATAAGAAAAAAGTTTTCCTTGGACAAACACTACATTTCTGTCTTAAGAGATTTATATATAGAACTAAATTGCATTTTACTATGATAATTTTTCAGTTTATTGGAGGATTATCAATTAATATAGCAAAAAACAAATAGAACAATAGAACAATAGAACAATAGAATAGAACAATAGAATTTAGAATTTTTATCAATAGAACAAAAAATTGACAACCCTAGTCTAAACCTGTCTTGGAGCATTAATTAAAAATGTCGAGAAGGCAATTTTATTTATACTTCTCTTATAAAAACACCAAACTAACCCTAACCCTAACATTAATTTTAATTAAACCAATTAAACCGTCAAAATCACGTGAGTATATGGCTTTAGCCATCCCCCAAATGGAGCAAAATCCCTGACTAAATTTAAATCTTTTGTTGCAACAGCAACAGAATCTATTTATAGAATTATTAGCGAAAGTTGCATTACAGCAACAAGAAATAAATTTTTTTTTCATACGAATATTAATATTAATATTTAAATTTTATTGAACGAAAAATGAATATCAGTACTCATAATGGTTTGATTAAAGGTTAACAGATGGGCTGTATTTATTGCGTTCATATAAGGTATCAATTATATGTTTTAATTGCCTCGAGAATTAAAAATAATTTTTGTCATATCGGTTAGAAATTTCATTGTTTATTATTTTTGATATGTAAAATTAAAAGTAATGCTTGAGCGACCTTTATTAATGGCTAATTTTTTGAAGAAGAAAGATGGTTTGTATCTCGCTGATTTGTTTATCGAAACGGTAACTCACTAGGTTAATTTATTCAATTTCCAACTGATTAAAATTTTTGCCTCCAACCCATTGAGCGAGATACTTGAGAACACCAAAATCGACTACAATCACTACACCCTACCCTTTAAAATTTTGGAAGACGAACGCGTCTTCAATCATGTGACACCCGTTTTTATTTCTATGACTAGACTACGTATGACTAGCCTACTTCTATAACTATACTAACTTACTTTGTATGTTTATAGTTACATTATGCAAACGTCAGTGTTATTTATGCGAACGTCAGTGTCATGTTGTGCAAAAAGTGTAATACAATGCAAAACGTCATCTCTATACTATGCAAACGTCAGCGTTATACACGAAAATAAATTACTAAATGCCTTGCATTAAAACTATAATTAGAATAGATAACCAAGTGACGAATTTCGATGCAATTAATGAAAAAATAAATTGATAATCTTTATTTTAATCAATTCCGATAAGTCTATGATTAAAATAGATAATAAGAATACGCATAAAAAATTCAAGCAAAGAAAGAAGATTTAATTCTTCACAATTTTTTATTACTTTAGAAATCTACAGATCAATTACAATTTGACGAAATGAGTAGTACAGGTAACCATGGCGCTTGTATTTACACCAAAAATGCAGTACACTTAATAATTTTATGAATTTAAATAGATTATCTAATCTTTTGTGAAACTTGAATAAGTTGGTGATGACCAAAGTTTTACGTCATAACAAAAGTTCGAGACAAATCTAAAGAAACCATCAGTAAATCTTCCAGGAAATCATTTGTAAGTAAATAACTAATTAAATTTATTACTTTTAAGCATTTTTAACGGTGACCATTCTCGTCTGACAAGATAGATCTCTCCAAGCATTGCAGTTTATCTATGCATAAAATAACACATTACGATATTTGGAATTCAAGGATGTTTCATTTATACGTATATAAGTTTAGAATATCTGATATGCAAGCGTGCACATTATATTACGATTAGAATCCGGTGAAAAACTTATTCCGTTTATTGTGGATACGTATTTCTTGCATACCGGAGCCCCTTTCTCGTGCGATTTAACTTTTAAATTAGTAATAATATATACTCTATATGCATTATCATGTGACTTGTGCACGGATCAATATCGATATCAATATTGTCCTCTGTTTCGTTCCGGTCAAAATCAGTCTATTCATTTGAACGAATGCCCGTAAAAACTTCTGGTTCTAATGATATTAAAATTAAGATTTCGGCAATAAAATATCAATGAAAAACCAAACGAAACAATTAATAATTATGGATAAATAATTTATCTATCCGTCTAAATCTCTAAAACTTTGTTCGAATAACACAAAAATGAATTCGATCGGTTCCATTCTAAATATTTTAATAATTCCCAAATCAGTCAAATTACATTAAGTGTCACTTCCATTACTATTTATCAGCCCAAATACATAAGTGTCACTTCCATTACTATTTTATCACATTAAGTGCCACTTTCATTACTATTTTCATATCAATATATACGTACGTACGTACGTACTTACGTACTTACTGGTACGTTTAGATTTATTAATTACCCGCGTATTTGCGTTTGTTTCTATCTATAACATAATTAAGTAATAAAATACTTCCAGTTGAAAACCGGTTTCCCCAGTTTTAAAGTTGCAAGATTATCGTTCTACTCTATTTTACTCTATTTGTACATACTATAATAGGTAAGATTCGAATGGCCCTTATCCCCCTTAATACCGTAATAATGCATCAAATGCAATATATATAACACATATATATATGTATATACATTATAAATACCATTAGGAAAGGGCTATTTTTCCTCCATGAAATTAATCTTGATCATTATTTTATTGGAATAGTTATTTTCATTATGGCAGATTCTCAATATGTTTTTGATACAAAGAGACCACATGTAAAAGAAAGGGCTCTTGGGATTGCTCATGAGATCCCTGAATTTTCAATTCGATATATCAAATCCCTTTTTCCTATTTTTAGTTGGATACATCATTACAATCTTACCTGGTTTGTTAGCGACATAATAGCCGGTATAACTATTGGGTTGGTGGTCATTCCTCAAAGCATGGGTTATGCAAAGATTGCGACTTTACCCGTGGAATATGGACTATATTCATCCTTTGTTGGTGTCTCGATATATTGTTTCTTTGCCACCTCAAAAGATATCACTATCGGACCTACCGCTGTGATGTCTTTGCTTATGGGGCAAACTATAGATTCAATTCTTAAGGTTAATACCAACTACGCTAATACAGCAATTGCTGCTACCTTTTCCTTGTTAACTGGATTCGTCGCTCTTACCATGGGTTTATTACGTCTTGGCTTTGTTGTCGATTTCATTCCTGTTCCAGTTGTTGCCGGTTTCACAACCGGTTCCGCGATTAATATTGCTGTGGGTCAGGTAAATATTTTGTTCAAACTTGTATTATTAATGTTTAATTAAGTTTTTTATTAATGTTTAATATTAATGAAGTTTTTTATTAAAATATATATATATATCGTAAAAAGGTTGCAAACTTGTTGGGTATATCTGGTATAGATAATAAAGAAGCTACGTATCTGGTGCTTATTAAAACCCTTGGTGCGCTAAGGCGTACGAAACTTGATGCAGTTATAGGACTCCTTGGTTTATTGTTTCTATATACGGTTAAATACAGTTGTGCATTTTTTTCACGACGTTATCCCAACAAAGAAAGGTTGTTCTTTTTCCTCGGGATTTCGCGCAACTTTGTTGTGGTTGCTTTATGCACTTTTGTCGCCTATCTGTTGAACATTGGTCAAACCACAAGTCCTATTAACATTTTGAAAAACGTGCCTTCAGGATTTGACCATATTGGCACGCCCAATCTTGAACCGGATCTCGTAAGACTTGTTTTCGGATACCTTCCTGGTATTTCCGTTGTTTTGATTCTGGAACACGTAGCCCTTGCAAGGAGTTTTGGAAGAATAAATGACTATAAAAGTGTGTTCCGATAGCATTTTCATCATTCATGAATTTAAAAGTTGATGTTATAAATGACAGAAATGCATGTTAACATTTAAAAATAGTTGTTGCCAGTCAAGAACTCATTGCTATCGGTGCTACCAATGCGCTCGGTTCATTCTTTGGTGCTTATCCTTCTACTGGCTCCTTTTCACGTAGCGCTATTAATGCAAAATCTGGTGTACGAACTCCTCTTGCCGGTTTATATTCAGGTGCATTAGTAATATTGGCTCTCTTTGTTTTAACCCCTGCATTTTATTATATCCCTAGCGCGGCGCTTAGGTAAATGATTTTTGAATATTTTGTTCGTTGATTCTTTATTTTTAAATCTTTTATTTTTTTATTTTAAATAGTGCTGTTATTATTCACGCTGTGCTTAATTTAATATCTGGTCCTGATTATATAAAACAATTATGGGAAATTCAATGTAATCAAATCTACTTTATATTTACTATAAATTATTGTCATTCAATACTGACCAATTTTCTTGATGCCTATTTTTTTTTTTAGTTTGGGATTTAGTAGTCTTTGTTCTTGGTGTTGTTTTCAATTTCTTTTTCACTGTTGAGGTACATGTTTATCATACTATATACCAGTTTTCAAAAAAAAATATTATTTATAACTTACAATTATCATTATATAATGAATTTATAGATCGGAATATACGTTTCAACTCTTGTTGCACTTGTAGTATTACTGGTTCGACTTGCACGTCCACGATTTGATGTACTTGGTCGTCTAGAAATTGCCTCATCTAATGGTGACGGTTCCAAACAATTCACTTATGTTCCATTGTGTCCAATGTTTCAAACTGCCCAAAGTCCACCTGATGGTGTTCTAATATTTCGATTTGACGAATCACTAACCTATCCTAATTCGAGTTATATTGAAGATCAAATAGTTAATCATGTTAAATCTAATACTCGTCGAGTGACCAAAATCGCTGAAAAAGTTGGTGATCGACCATGGAATGATGCTAGTGACGAGTATGAAAATAAAGTCATAGAAAATTTAAAATTACCAAAATTAAAGGCAATAGTATTTGACTTTTCAGCAGTTAGTACGATAGATTCTACTGGTGTACAGGCATTGGTAGACATTAAAAAGAATCTAAATAGATACACTGGAGATATCATAGAATACCATTTTGCAAATATTCTTAATGAAAAGATACAACGTGCATTAATAGTCGCTGGATTTGGTGGCACTGAACAACCGAAATTAGTTATTGATGTTGGGATTCACTCTACTGAAGAATCATCTGACGAAAATTCTGAACTTACTCCGAATGAGATTGATATGCCTAGTGAGGTCATTGTGAATACGGTTAGAAAGAAATATCTTCATTTAAGTTTGCAGGAAGCTGTTACGGCTGCTACTAATGGTGTTTGGTAGTTTATTGAATAATTGCGGAAATTTTTATGTCTATATATTAACATTTGTATTTAAATTTGTATGAAATAGCGTGTATTGATTAACTTTATTTGTAAATAGTCTGTTGATATCAAATATGTCAAATTATAAATCAATATAAAATGTAGTATTACAATAATGATTGAATAAATTAAATCGAAAAAGTAACCCGCTGTCATTTTTTTTTCTAAAACATTACATTAAAACATAAAATAGCTGACAGTAATACGTTTGAGTGTTGTGTCTCAGATGCATCCTTGCGTCAGATGACTCCCGGCCTGAGTTAGGATTAAGGTTAGGGTGAAAATTATGCAGATCAACGTCAGCTGCAAATAGGGTTGTATAACAAAAATTACAAATTTACATTTCATGTAATTTTGCGTAAATGAATTTCATGTAAATTTCACACGTACTGGCACTATGAAAAACTCAGCTAGCATTATTGAACTACAGTAGATTCTGCATAAAGTTTACTGACCAAATCGATGTACATATGTTCCAACCAATCATATGAGCATATGATCCAACCAATCATATGAGCATATGATCCAACCAATCATATGAGCATATGATCACGTTTCTTACAAAACCATGTTACTGAAATTTACGCAAAATTACGTAAAATTACGGTAACCCTAGCTGCGTTAATCTGATGCGCATTGTTAATCGAAGACTCTTAAAGAGTTACGGGAATTCAAAATTAATAATACTGTCAAAAGTTTTATTGAACATTAACATTTTTTGTTAGAAAGCTTTAAATCTTACTAGAAACAAAAATTAATACACTATATACATTACACATGAGTAAAAACCTGCAATTGCATTTAATAATTTATTGTGATTAGTTACAGATTTTTATTTTGTAATGGACCGATTAATTATTACCGGAAATTGAAAATTACAAACGACAACAATGATTCAATAATTAGCGAATAACGATAATCCATAGATGACAAAATAATTAGCGAAGATATAAATTTATTAATAATTAGCGAAGATATAAATTTATTAATAATTAGCGCAAGGATATTAATTTATTTAATAATTAGCGAATATTAATTTATTTACAAAAATTATATATCGCACCAGTGGTGTGATTTAACAATGCCGTTAATTTATCTAATAATTAACGAAAATATTGATTTATATAATGATTTGTGTATGATTAGTAAAGATATTAATTTATTTAATGATTTGTGTATGATTAGTAAAGATATTAATTTATTAACCCTAAGATAATTATTATATAGATTATGACCAAATCCTAGTCATAGGAGACCCAACTTTATAATCAATTAATATTTATTAAAGGGGTTACCTATACGTACTGCTAACCTTTTATATTCGGTATTATATGTGAGAAACTCCCTCTATCCAAATTACCCATCACTACAAGTAATGCGTGTTTCATATTTAATCATATGATTTCGCTCATAAGTATATCATAATTGGCAAGATAAACAATATCGATACTTTGAATTATGCAACTATGTACCCTAATTGTGTAAAATGTCTTCGGTGTTGTGAAACGATAAATCGCCTTTCATGCCTAGTAAAAATTCAGAATCCGTTCGCATATTATTAGATAAAAAAATTTTTTAGCATGTAAAATTTTTACTGGGTATTCGGGTTGTGTGTCAATAAATTTTTAAATAAAATTTTATATTATTAA